AAAAAAAAACAGAGTAGCAAGTGAAATCATCTAAAGCTCCCACATTAAAAGCTTATATAATGCAACTAACTCCACTGGAAAGGGAGAAAGGAGGAGTCTGAACTAAGCCTGTAAAACTAAAAAGCCATCTTCAGAATCAAAACCAGAGCCATAAAAAAAGGGAACAATAACTGTTAAGGAGATTAAAGGTCACAGTAAAATGAAATTCTCTAGGCAGTATGCCATGAGAGTGTGGGCTACAGAGAAAATATTTTTATGCTTCTGCACAGTTAGGGCTTTAAGAGAAAATTTTACTAAAACTTGGAGAACTTGTTCCTGGATCACCCTGCTTCCAGTGGCAGCAACATTTTCATTCATTCATTCATTCAACCAGTATTGATTAAGTACTTACTGCATGCTAAGCATCCTTCTAGAGCCATAGGTTACAACAGTGACCAAAACAAAGATCCCTACCTCATGGAGAGTGCACACAACCTACAGTGAAAAGGTGATACATGCTATGGGGGGAAAATAAAAGCTAATCACGTTGCCATTTTACAGGGCTGCCAGGAAAGGTCTCTGTGGGAAGGGGTATTTGAACAATAATTTGAAGGAAGTGAGAGAGTGAACCAACTAGATACTTGAGAGAGTGTTCCAAAAGAAACAGCTACCCCTGTAATTTCTTTCAAAATTATGTTTTTTCTTTTAACACATTTAACAGTGAAGGAAAAAAATACCAACATTTTTAAATGTGATGTTTTACCTTAATGACAAGAATAAGCCTAAGTATTCTGAGGTATCCTATTATTACGGTAATTTGAATAAAAGGCATGTTGATCAATCTCAATCTGACAAAGTATATACAAAGGATATCAATGATTCCAATAATCACGAAAAAAAATTCCAAAGTATTCCAGTGTTGGTGAAAATATTTCCTTTTCAAAATTATTATCTGTTTAGAAAAAACACAGAACATAGGTCATTTCATAGCACCTATACAATGATGCATATGTGTGGAGTGGGACAATTTTAAAAATGAACAGTTAAATCCTCAAGTACAGATGAGTCATATTCCAAAAGTTGGGTTTTAAGTTATTTAATTGGAATTCTAAAAAAATTCTTCTTAATCTGCAATATCAAAAATTGTAATTTGATTCAAAAATATTTATATAATCTATGATGAAGCAGGAATACCAAAAACAAGTAATGAAAAATAGCAGTAAATAGATTCACTGTAATACTAAGAATTAATGTGTGAAAACAGTAGTGCTGAATAAATCGTGTTTGAAGCATTAAACCTAAACAGTAGTTCTCATCTTACATTATGACAAGGACCTAGCAACCCAGTTTGGTTTTATTCACTTATTTATTTTTTGCATCATAACAGAGAGTATTTGAGGGAAACATCCATGTATGGATTTTCAGTTCTCTTTTACCTGATCTTTGAGATTCTTCCCACTTTCACAATGCTCATCTGATATCCAAGACCTTGCCTATTATACTGGTTTGTTATTAAATTCAGAAAATTCAAAAAGATTACTAAAATTCCAGGATGCTATCAACTATTATAGCAAATGGCTTCCAGTATCAAGTTATTTCAAAAATATGACAAGAAGAGATTCAAAATATATGAATTGTTATTTTTTATAAGATACAACTCTAATTTTAATAGTACCTTCAATGCTGATTCTAATGCATGTAAAAATATAAAATAGTAGTTTACTGATATTAGTGCTGCCACATTTAACTCTCTTGCCATTGGCCATAGATGCATTATTATAGGATAAATGTAGATTAATGTTATAATATATCCTGCATATTCAAATTCTTCTGAAAATACAATGTAGTATACAAAAATCAGAAATTTATTATTCCTGAAAAAAATAATAAAATGTGAGATTACTTTAAAAGTATAACAATTAAGATGTGAAGTTCAATATTTGTTTAAACAAATCACTAACATTAATTTGAAAAAGATTATAAATATAAAACAACAGATAAACAAAAGTCTAAAACATACTTTCTATACATAAAAATCATAGTGAAGAGAGATAAAATATGGCTCTTGTTATTCTATATCAAGGATGTGGAGCATTTTTTTTAAATCAAGACAATATGTAGGAAACAATTCAAAGATTCATACATCAAAAGCAAGAAACAAATAAATTTAGGGTAAAACATCAGCATTGTTTAAAAATAAGACCAGGAAAAAAACATTCTATTTGATATTTACCATGACATACATTAAAAAATTTTTCAGTCCATCTAAAGTAGAGCCTACCAGAAAGAGGTTACCTGGATATATGTCAAGATTCAAGGGTTTAAATTTTTTCTCTTTCTCCTTACACTTAGTAGAAGAAAGTAAAAATTATCGGAATTTGTTATGAAAGCTATGTTAACATCCTGTTATAAAATGTAACATAGCGTTAAATCCTCCGATATCTTCTCATTAATTACATCTTGTCTTTCCACTTTAAAAAGGATATAAGCTCACAACTTAACGTAACAAAGCAAGGAGTCTATACAAGTAAAATCTGTAACTTGTGACATTTTAGAAAATCAATTATAGGTATATGAAACCCATGCCTTGTTCTTCCTAGTTCCAAACAGAACCACCCTGTGGCACAGATTAAATTAAATTGAGAGCTAGATCCAGCCCACATGCATATCTCAGCCCTGCTCAGTGTTATACCCAATGACTACGAAAGCAGCCCAGTGGGTAACGTGACCCTAAGACATGGCAACTAAAACTTGAAGAATCCAAACATGACCACACGTTTCTTCTTCTTCCTGCCCATTTTCTAAGAGAGGTGTCAGTGAAGTTGCTAAAACAGTATGGAGAGGAGAAGCCCTCTTCTCTTTCCTTCACCACTCAACCAGTAACAGTTGATCATATTAGTTATTTTTTTTTAATGAGGAAAATCAAGGTAATATACTCTGACAATATAGAAAAGGTCATATTTTCAAGTATACTGCTACTAAATGGTCACAATACTTAACCCATATGGAAGTCCAGGTGACTTCTCTTTATGGTATTCCAAAGAAGTTAACATGTCTTTGAACTTCATAAGCCAACTTCTAGTTCTTACATAAGTTAAAACATCATAAATACTCATGAATCTAACAGAGAAAAAAATTTATGTTATAACAAAAGGCAAATACTGTACTTTTGGGTAATATCAAAAAAGGTTTCTTAAATATATTCAGTCCTGAGCCTCTGTACCCATCCACCTATCCACCCATGGTCACGGTACAGGAACATTTCTAATATGAGACTCCTACTACCTCTGTTCCTGAAACCATTCCTGACCTGAGATTAGAACATAACTAAATGAAACTAACATAACAACGCTAAGTAAACATGACTAGAACATGATTAAAGTTTCTCCAGACCAATCTTCGGGGTTTGGAATCAAGCTCCCCTTTGTCTTGCTGTGCCAAGATGCTCCAAGGCCCTGAAGACCGGGCCCTTTATCTAGGAACTGATAAACTGTATCTAGGCACTGACTCTGATCTCTCAGATAGATTACCAGGCTGCTGAAACATTAGGTGTCACTCGGACTGGATTTCCAACGCTGTTGCTCCACAGCTTTGTCCTGGACTACTATCTCATGTTTGCCAGGACTGTGACCAGATAGCAGCATATCTCTAAGATACTGAACTTTTCCCACAAGATTTAATGGCATTTATTAGCTCCACCAGTTAGTGCAAATCCTCCATAGCCTGTTCCAGCCCAGGGAGCCATCTAATGGCAGGCTACAGACTTCCTTACCTCCCCATCCAATAACTTAGTGAATATGATATAAAGACAAAATAATTGTAATAGTAATTGAAACCATACGGGCTCTCTTTCATGGCTCCCTGAGTCTCTTATACAAATACACTGTAGTCAGATCTTCCTCCAGAATCTCCTAATGTAACAACCAATGTTATGAACCCTCAGGGAAAAACAATGAAAACAAGTAAAATACGATGAATGGACAGACTGATAAATGAAGATAGATGAAACAGATTGATTGATCTGGACATTTAACTCTGTTCATTCTTTATCACAATTTTACCCACTCAATTTTAGAAATATAGATTAATGAAGTGTTACACTCACTTTCCTCGGATGGGACAGTAGCTTTTGATAGCACCAATTAATATCCGGGCTGCTTCCACATCCAGGATTCCATCACTACATTGTTTTTCAAAGCTCCTCTAAACATACAATTTTATATAAAAATTACAAAGGACCAAAACATTAACATCATATACTCTGCTTGACCTTTAAAAAGATTACTACTGAAATCAATATGAAATACTGATTTTGCAAAGTATTGTCCTGCTTTAAAAAACATACACAGTTTCCTGACTTCAAGAAACTTAAAATCCATACAACTCAAAGACTTTACTGCAACAATATAAATAGCATCAGTGTCATCATCTTTCTACAGCAGAACAGATAGCGCAAAGCATTAATTCAAAGAGTGACTGATCATCTCAGCCTCACAAAGAACTACCAAGGGAGAGAAGTAAACCGGTTCTTTTTTTCTCCTCTTATCTCAGGTTTATTGAGATATAATTAACACATAGCATTGTGTAAAGTATACAGTGTGACGATTTGATGCACATATATATTGCAAAAAGATTACCACAATAAGGTTAGTGAACACATCCATCACTCCACATAATTACAGTTTTTTGTGTGCGATGAGAACATTTAAGATCCTCTCTTAGCAACTTTCAAGTATATAATACAGTGTTGTTAGCTAGAGTCACCATGCTATACATTAGGTCCCCAGAATTTATTTATCTTATAACTGTGCTTGCACTCTGATCAACATCTCCCCATTTCCCCCACCCTCCAGCCCCTGTAAACAACCATTCTAATCTCTGTTTCTATGAATTTGACTTTTTCAGATTTCACATATAAGTGAGATCATACAGTGTTTGTCTTTCTCTGTCTGACTTATTTCACTTAGCATAATGTCCTCAAGGCACATCCGTGTTGTTGCAAATGGCAGGATTTCCTTCTGTTTTATGGTTGAATAACTTTATATATTATATATAATGATACATAAATAAATATATATGCAATGTTAGTTA